GATGTGCATTTAAGTTACAAGCATTTTATGGAAACTAACTGCATAAACATACCTACCCATGAGTCCTACTAGTACAGGTCGAGTAGCTGCTATGCTCAGGATATCGGTAGCGTGAGTAACCTGTCGTTACTCGCACATAGATGATAAAATATGATCACTCATGATAAAATGATGGAAAGGTAAATGGTGACCGGGTAGGGATATGGTTTGGGTATTGGTGGGTGTAAAGGGTTATGTCCTATGGCCAACAGGGCATAGCTCAGTTACACTTTTTCCCTATCTGTGTCGATTAAGGACCGGTCATTTCATAAGGCATCGTGGGCAAGTCACAGATTTATTGTCCCAAGCGCATACTTGGGTATGGGCGCAGGGAAGACTTGTTGCTCTCTTGTCATAGATCCAGCTCTTTTCGGATCGACTGATGGGAAGAGGAGGTGGTGGAGGTCCTTGCACCACACTAAGTCTGGGACTCAGGAGTGGGGGCTTGGAGTCCAAGTTTGGACGGGGACCTAGACACCCGGGACAGGAGGGTGATGGGTTAGTCCTACTTGTGCCTAGGGTACAAGCGGGGTGTGTGTTTTCGGGCACCCAGCTAGGCACATTGATTCATGAATCGCGGGGCGATCCGGTATGGCTTGTCTCGTGTTTAGCACCGTAGTAAGAACTGAAAGTTGAAAGGAGAAGAAATGGAACTGATTGCTCAACTTTTGCTTGAAAGTAGAACAGGTGTTTATTTAGACTGGCTAGATGATAATTTAATACGACTAATAACAATACATAACTAAGGACTCACTATTAGTATTGCTTTCTGCAAAAAGAAACCAGCAAGCCATAAAGCTTATCATATTCCTTGGAGTCGGGAAATTATTCCCACTAGTTGGATAAGTCTTGTGAGTACATTGTGTACTCAGGGTTTATTTGCCCCTGTTGCAGGTGATGCTTGAAGAGTACCTTTGTGTGGAGGATCCTTCTGGTGGACTCAGACGGAATCCTCGCCCCTTTCCGCTAGATGTTATTTTTAAAATTCCGTTGTTATCATTCCGCACTCTGGTATTTGGTATTGTAATAATGTACTTTTTAAGAAACTCTAATGTATGAAATGGACTTGTGTTGTAACTCATTCTCGTTATTGGATCCTTGGAGAAAATGTGGATCTTTTAGGTTCTCCCAAGGGGTGTCCCCGACGGACACCGCTCGCTATAGCTTGCTTTCAGGGTGCTTAGTGTCTGGTGGAAGACGAACGCCTCCGTAAGTATGCTATTTCAGGCGGTTCTGCCACACCAGCTTGGGGCTCTCCATCTTGGCACTTTAACATCCTTGTGAGCTTAAGCAAACACCTCCCACTCATCTCCATCACTGATTCATCATAGTGAGATTGGAAGTGATTTTTAGTGCATTTGCTTGAGTGATTGCATCTAGTGGCACTTGGGGATCGTTGTGGCTGTAGATTTCTTGTTTCTCTTGGTGGTTGTCGCCACTTAGATGGCTTGGAGCAGCGGAGGAGCTTTGACACATGTTGGTGATTGTTCATGGCCGGCTTCAGTGAATGTGAGGGGTCTTGCACCTTCCTCAGCGAAGAGCCGCAAGGTAGCTCTAATAAATTGCTTGTATCATTGAGTTACCTCACTTATGAGTAGGTTCTTATAGCGCCTCTTATGGTGGGATAGGTGTGTGATACCTATTAGGCACCGAACCACCAAGTGTTGGTCGACACAATAGGGACTAGCGTGCCGGCAAGCACATGAACCTTTCAGTCCCTCTCTATCCATATTAGGACCTTTCAGAGAGTTAGCATTGCTTGTGGGGAGTAGCTCGAGTTGACATGGATCGAAACACGAAAGAGTTTGCAACTCGGAGAGCTAGTGGAGGTGCCTGGGTGGCACGGCCACCCCCTGTCCGGTGCACCGCCCTGCTTGTGGCCATGCCCACCTAGACCTGACCAAGAGCGACTAAGTTGGGGTGGTCATCGGACATGTCATTGTATACCGCCCCTGGCACGGCAGTGCACCGCCATGGGCACCGTCACACTTGTCGGTGCCACCGCCCCTTTCCTCTAGAGAGCAACTGAAGCTGGGCTTAGCCTGGGCAAAAATAACCGAGAACCGAAAATTGAACCGAAAGAACTGGAACCAAAACCGAAAGAATCGGAACCGAAAAATTTGGCTCCTTATTCGGTTCTAGATATTGAGGAACCAAAATAATCGAAGAAAATTCGGTTCCTACTCTCAGTTAACCGAATTAATCGAAAGAACCGAATTACATGAATTATACTTTACTTACTTGTATTTTGTAAGATTATGTTTGGTTTATGTGTAGTGTTTTATATTTGAACTACTATATATTTGTGTTACTATATTGCTATTGTTTTCTTATATATTATTATTATTATAAATGAATATAGTGTTGCATAAATTTGTCTTAGAACACGTATATTTATTGTTGTCTTGCGGTCTTTTGAAAAAATTCAGTTAGTTCGGTGACAACCGGAACCGAACCAAAATAACCGAGAACCGAAATGCTCGGTTCCTAAAAATTTTTGGAACCAATCGGTTCCCATTTTCTAGGAACCGAATTTCATCAATAACCGAGGGAACTAAACCGAAACCGAACCGAGAACCAAACACCCACCCTGAGCTAGGCTGGTCACCGCCATGGTCGCCGCTAGGGTGACGGCGGTGCACTACCGCCTTTTTTCTAGAGCGGAGGGAAAACCGAAGGCTTGGCTGTGTGGTCACCGCCACCGCCACCCTGTCTGGTGCCCCAACGGCTAGTTTGTAGCCATTGAAATTCGACCATTGGGCAAGTCACCACCGTGTTCGGTGCTAGGAACCACCCTGTCTGGTGACCTCGCAGAAACAGCTCCATGGGGTACAACGGCTCTATTTGCTTGTGTGGCTATAAATAGAGGGTGTGGCCGGCCTTGGCCACTCTCTTAGCACCTCTTACACTTGTGCACACCCTTTGAAAGATGAGCAACACACTCCACTCACTTGTTCACTTGATTTCATCATCTTGAGTGAGATTGGAGAGCCTCTAGTGCATTGCATTGAGTTGCATCATCTTGTGGCACTAGTTGGGTGATTTATGCTGGTTGTGAGCTTGTTACTCTTGGTGTTTGCCAACACCTAGACGGCCCGGTGATTGAAGGATCGTTGAGCGAAGTTGGTGATTGTCTCCGGCCTCGATCGGTTGCTTGTGAGGGGTCCTGTGCCTTTCCCGGCGGAGCGTCAAAGGCAACTCTAGTACATTGCTCGTGTCATTGAGTTACCTCACTTGTGGGTAGGTTCTTGTGGTGTCAAATTATGTGGACAAGGTTCGTGCAATGTCTCTTAGCCACCGAACCACCAAGTGTTGGTCGACACAACGGGGACTAGAGTGCCCGCAAGCATGTGAATCTTGGGAGAAAAATCTTATGTCTCTTGTGTGATTGGATTTCTCCCGGTGATTGGTTGTCTCCACATTGTGATTGGTTCATTCCTCGATGCGGCGGTATAATCACCCTACTCACTCCTTTATATTCCTTGCAGACTAGTTGTCAAGCTCTTTAGTGTAGTTAGTCTTTGATAGTTTGTTAGTTTGGTTTGTGTAGCTCTTTAGTTAGTCTTCAAGAGCACATTAGCTTAGTGAGTAGTGACCTAACTTGTTGTGTGTGCTAGTGATCATAGCAACTAGAATTGTTGGAATAGGTGGCTTGCAACCCTTTTTAGAGCTGGAGCAAAATTATATTACGCCGTTTGTCATACTAATCAATTGCTCTAGTGAATTTGTAGAGTTTTAAATAGGCTATTCACCCCCTCTAGCCATATTAGGACCTTTCAGCCGCTTGCTGGCTACCACAAGTCTCCACCAGGTAGGCCATGGCTGCCGGCGGCGCCATGTTTTGTTTCAGGTGTGTTTCAGAAGTTGTTTTGAAGTGTTTTATCCGTATGTTGAGTATGTTGCATTGGCTATATACATATATTGCAAGTATATGTTTCACGCGTTTCAGACGTATGTTTCACGCGTTTCATCTGTATGTTTCATGTGTTTCATCTGTATGTTTCATTTGTTTCATTTTGATGTTGCAAAAGGATCTGATGTTGCATATGTTGCAATGGCTACACACGTATGTTTTAAGTGTATGTTCCACATGTTTCATTTGTTTTAGACGTATGTTGCAAATGTATGTCCCAAATATTTCAGTTTTTTATATGCATGTTTCATGTGTTTCATCTATATGTTACAATGACTATATATGTATGTGTTTAATAGTAGTACTGCATATGTTGCAATGGTCAAACAGATGTTGTAGAGGAGATGAGATATTAGGACAGGGAAGAGGCATGACTGAGATAGAGCACGATGGAGGATGGGGCGTGGCGGGGATGGTGCCGCAGTGAGAGGAGGAGCGTGGTGTGGTGGGGGAGGAGTGTGGTGTGGTGGAGAAGGAGCGCGGCAGGCTTGACACCAGGGGCGCAACTGGGATGGGGATGGAGTCGTAGATGATCGAACACGATTACTGGCGCGGGATTAGTCACGGGCAGCCGGGAGCTGGTGCGGGATCTGATGTGAACGTGTGTGTCTAATGCGAAACGGTTGCAGCGTCGAAGCTGCGTTTGATATAGGTCGAAGGTCGAACGTCCGGACGCTGCCCTGCCAAAATTCTATTCGTGGACGTATTTTTCCTTTAACGGCCTCCGTAGTGTTGACAATAAAGAGTAGTACTAGTTTTACGAGGTTGACCTAAAGCAAACGATCGATTTTGGCGTATCTCTGCAGGTTGACTCGCTCGCTTCTTTTGCGTCACCGGGGCCAAGCCCGTTACCTATTATCTGCAATCCATATCAAATGGGCTCGAGTCGGCCCACTGACCCTGGCCAGGCCCAATCCAACGTTTCCGATGTCTGAAAAGCAACCGTTCCTCACACTTTTCATGAAGAAGAAGAAAAAAAGTATCATTTTTTTATATAAAAGAAAGAAGAAAGAAAAAAAAGTCCTCTTCCGCCATCGCCTCCTTCCCAATGGCGGGTTTCGCCGGCGACTACCCCTTCGGCTTGGACTATGACTTCGGGGACGACGGCGACAACGACCCGTTCTGCTACGACCCATTCGAAGACTACGGTGGCGACGGGGACGAAGGCGAGGGGCTAATCGGCGGCCCCTTTGCGCTCGACTACGGAGACGGCGGGGAGTACTGCATCTCAGGTTTCGCCTTCCGCGACGGCGATGACGACGGAGGCGGCGTCCTCGTGGGAGATGGCCACGCGCCCCTGTCCTCCCACGACGAACCCATTCTCGAAACCCTAGGCCGCTCATTCGATTCCTACGGAGGCCTCAGCCAATTCTACCCCCACCTCGTTTCTGCATTGGAACTCGTCGAGGATACCTCCGGGGAGGAGGCGAGGATTTCCCGAAATGCCCGGGGCGGCGGAGGGTCCGAATTCGAGCAGGGGGCGGTCGTTGAGGAGGCTACCGACGACGACGTCGACGGGATCGGGCTGATGCTGGGCGGGTTGACCCTCGATCCGCGGGTTGGGGGGTTCCAGGGCCTGGTGCAGCTTGTTCGGCTAGCATTGGAAAATACTGTAGCAGCTATTTTTTTTAAGAAAAATATTGATCCGGTTGGAAAAAAAAAGCTGGCCAACCAGCCGATATGGGCGAGGTGGGTCACGTGGGTGGGCTCATGCTCAGCGGGTTCGACCTCGTCGGGCCACGGGTCATCACGCGGCCCTTCCGGATGGTGGTGGGCGGCGAGGACACCGACTCTGACGACGCTGACTGGAACCTCGTCGATGCGCTCGCGGGGAGCGTTCGGGAGGCTGCACGGCGGCTGCCGGCGTCCCGTGCGGTGGTGGACGGCTTACCGGAGGTCGCGCTCAGCGATGAGGAGGCCTCGCACGGCTCCGCTGTGTGCAAGGATGGCATTGCGGCGGGGCAGAGTGTCCTCAGGCTCCCCTGCAAGCACTACTTCCATGGGGAGTGCATCCGCCCGTGGCTTGCCATCAGGAACACTTGCCCCGTGTGCCGATTTGAGCTCCCAACGGGTGACGCTGATCATGATTGGCGACGGAGCAGGACTGGTGTGGTGTCTGTGGCGCAACAGAGCGCACCAGAGCAGGTATGTTACTGGCCTTTGTTTTGGTGCGAAAATATTGGTTTCAACCCAGCAATTTAGTTTGTAATGCAATACGATGATTTTTACTCTGCAGTTCCTAAGTCATGCACCTCTTAGTATGATCTACTGACTCACTTATTGGCTTGCTTGTTCCAAATGAACGCTTCTAGTTCAGGAAGTAACTATGCACTAAAGGGGGGGTGGTGGGGGTACAATGTGGATTCTGAGTATTTCTGTGCCCAAAATTAAAATGTACAAGCTATGCACTTTTCATAGCAGTGCAATGCATATACGTCCACCAAAAGCTCTTATAGGAGCTGGATAAAGCACAAGAAAGAAGTTTTTAAGGAACCAAGGATTCAGAAAGCTGATGCATGAGCAGCAAACCACAATTGTTATCAAACCACTTAACAAAAGGTGGCTATGAGTTCCTGTGGTGGTTCTGGATGCTTGCAGGCAGACTTTTCTACAGTACTTTTGGGGGGGGGGGGGGGCAGGGTGTTGTGATAAACTTGTTTACCCTTTTGAAGGAACTGGTGACAATCTGTATGCCTATGTAGTTGGAAACTCATGGTCGCTGCATCTGCTAGAGAAACAATCATTACTGTTTTTTCAAGCTCCATCTGCTTTAGAGCATCCTAAAGTCTTAACTTAAATCACCTAGCTTTTAGGTTGAAAATTATCACATCACCAAACAGTCACTTTTGATTTATCTATTCAGCTTCACCAGCTTTTTTGAGGTCCTCAATGCCATCAGTGATATCTTTGTTGGGATATGATGAGCTTTTTAGTTCCCTTTGTACTGTTCTCTGCTTTCCCAGTGGGCCAAATTTAAATAATTAGATCATGTACCATGTTAAGGATTGCGATCAATAGTTTCTTGTCCCTTGATTTCAAGGGGTATCACCCAAGAAGCAGAGAACTGAGCATCACTTATTTGCATGGCGGCCATCTATGTACTGTCACAGTGCTATTTCAATAGATGTGGATCGTGATTGCATCATGTCAGCCGATCCCATTTGGCTTGTTCTGCATCAGGATTCTGCGTTGGCCCTCAGCAGCAAAATATCAGTATTGTGCATTTGCTAATTTCGCACATATCCAGTTGTTTTAATCCATATTTATCTTATTTGGATTCCATCTTGCAAATTTTGAAATTGCTAGAGTTGAATATATGCAGACATTCAAACATGATGTGGCGTGTCGTGTTACAGGGAAATTTTTGTTAAGCCATTTAGTTTTTTTTTTGCTGAATCTTACCAAGGTGAGTATTTGCTGCTCCCTCGCAGCACTGGGGTATATTTCAAAATCTTCTCCGCAGTAGGGTGCTTATGCTGTTTCCACGTTGCATCTCAACATGAAAGGGCTATCCCTTGATTTCACCATTTGAAGTCAGTTCTGTCTTCCACACGAAGGCTCCTTTGATCGGGTCTTGTTTAAATGCAGGGTGTAAAGTTTCGGAATGTCACATCGGGTGTCGTATGGGGTGTTCGGATACACAAATTACAGAATCCGTCAGTAATCCACGAGATAAATTTATTAAGCCTAATTAATCTGTCATTAGCACATGTGTTACTGTAGCATCACATTGTCAAATCATGGACTAATTAGTCTTAAAAGATTCGTCTCACAAATTAGTCGTAAGCTATGCAATTAGTTATTTTTTAGTCTATATTTAATACTCCACGTATATATCCAAACATTCGATGGGATAGGAAGTAAACTTTCAGAGGAAGAACTAAACAAAGCCTTAATTGATTTTTACTATGGTGCTGTGATCTGACAAATATTATTATATTGATAGAGTGGAGGCACAGGCGCTGGCAGTGGAACAGTAGGTGCAGGAGATGACGCAACTGAATGCCCGGGAGAAAATAGACCTGAGCAAAGGCACGTCTTGATGAGGCGGCAGACTGACTGATGCCAGCAAACAGGATTGCAAACTAACCAACTGAAGGCGATTTCCTGTCAGCGGCGCTAATAAGAAGATAATGTGCCCGCGTTTAACATCTGGTCACTGATCATTAACTATGTTTCTATGGCTTCTTTCAAAAAAAGACTACGTTTCTATGGCAGTTGTTCAACCTCTGCAGCTTGATCTCAGTTTCTAATCTAAACTCGATAGCCTTTTCACCTTGTTCCTTGTTAGTTTGGCACGACATAGTAAACTGCTCCAAATTCTGTTTAAGTTTTGTTTGGAATGCTGTGCTCTCCAATGGGATGGGATCCCGGTGTTGCCAGTGCCCAGTGCGTTCCGCAGAACTGAGAGGCCCCCATAAAGGAGTAGGAGCCTCTTCATGGTTCATGCCCTTCGTTAAGCATCCAGTGAACTGATAAATCTCTGGAGTTTCAATTATAAACTCTAAGCTCATTCAAGTTTTTTTGCATGAATTTTTTTCTAGATCCTTTTTTCGTGTTTAAGTGCATCCTTTCACCCACTGGACAATAGCTTGGAAACAAGAAGCATGCTATGCTGGGGAATGGTCGAATGGGAATAAAAAAAAGCGCCGGACCAGGATGACCAGGCGCTTTCCTCGTACTGAGTCTAAGGCGTGAGGCCCACACAGCTTTATCTGGCCAGTGACCACGGTCAAAAGCGTCAAAGGCCCCAAATGGCGGGCACATCCTAATCACAGGTAAACAGCGCCTTCCCGGGGCGGCGGCGCAGCCAGTGCTCGCCGGCGGCGGCATCTCCCAGCCGATTTCCCCGCGGGAGAGGCAACCGCACGGTGAACGTTGGAGCTTTCCCTTCAGTCAGTGAGTTGGGGACTAGAGCGATGACAAAATTTCTTGGTTTTCCATACGATTTTTAGTCATATACTATTTGCCATTTTGGACAAGACTGTTAATCCTGAGTGGTTGAGCAGAACCTTGCTTTCTATTGTGGGCTATCCGTTATTGTAACTGCACTATGCACACCAACACAGACAAAGATTGAAGGGGCAGAAATTCTGGTAAACAAACAGGTCGGCCTGTCGACAAAGCTACCCAATAATGCCCAGGGAAAGTGCTGTTAGGAACTGCCTTGAAATGCCCTGAATCAACTCGTCAGATTTATACCAAAGGACAAAAAAAATAAAAATGCTTTGCCATGTTGCAGCTAGAGCTCCATTTTAGATTTTACCAACTCACATTAGTCAAAGAAAAGGTTCCATGAAAGAATATAGATACAGCAAGTGATCTCCTATGTGCTCATATGCTCGTGAGCACCGAAATTAGTAGTATTTATCTATATCTGCGTACTCAACAGTACTACACTACAAGGCTACTAAGCACGGTATTTCTCAAACTAAGCTACCTTAGGTGTCCCTGCTGCAGCTTCAGCATCTCCCACTTCCACTTCCATCTCGCTGAGCCTTCTCTGCAGGCCAGCAGCTTCTTCTCTGAGCTTGTAGTTCTCACGAGCTACGGCAGCATGCTTGGCGATCACGTGGTTGAGCTCAACAAGAAGCCTCTGGTTGGTGCCCAGGAGCTCGGCCACCTGCAATGAGAGTTCGTCCAGGCGCCTCTGCTTCCTCACGCGGGACCTCCTCGCGGACTCACGGTTCGACGCCAACCTCCTCTTCTTCCTCTCGTCGTTTCCACGCCTCCCCTGGTGGTTGTCCGCCGCCGCGGCAGACACTGAGCTCACGGTGATGGTAGTAACGCTGCCATTGCAGCTGTATGGGTATGGATCGAGATCGAACATGTCGAACGAGCTGAGATCATACATGGGATCATTCTGAATCTGTGGTAGGAAAAGGCTGGCCAAGTCGAAGCCAGGGAGGCACGCTAAATTGGCTGCACAGTTTTGCTGCATGTCTGAAACTCTGAAGGAGAGTAGGCTTGGATGCTTGTTGCTTGGTGGTTTGCAATGTGAAGGAAAGAAGCAGTGGTGTTTTACTGCAATTGCGAAGGAGTGTGTTGGATGAATGGAGGGGGAAGGATGAGCGGGGAAGTGTTCCTTTTAAATCGCAAGAAACCAAGCCAGCCCCTAAAGTAGAAGACACTGACCCACCTGTGCTGTTGTAAGCAAAATTTGCTTTTCTAACTTTGTGGCTGTTTGAGATTATCATCTTGATTTATCAGATACACAGCCATTTGGCATTTTGTTGTAAATGTGTCAGCGTCATGAGGAAAGGCTAGGACTTTCTCAAAAACGCCTTTCGGATGCGGAAATTCTGTCGAAAGTTACAACTATTTTGCTCTGTTCTGGTTCTAGGTACAATATACAAAGCACCAACAGTTAAATCTTCCTGTGGGATCATGTCATACCGTCAAATATTGCCTGCAAAAAAAGCAAACGGCTAGGTTAGAAGTATTACATGAACACATCCTTTGTTCATGCATTTGCAAATCTAAGCAGAGGGAGCTTAATTCTGAATCGAAAAGAACAGCGCCAACCATTTAGGACTTCTATGCCCTTTCATGAATATATACATCCTTTGTTCATGCATTTACAGTGGACAATAATGCATTGCAATCATACAGCCATGTATTGCGTGCTTTGGCCAATCTGTTTCTTGTGACTAAGTAAAGCTGTTGCCTTGTATGCCCTTTCAAGTCGAGATTGTGACAACAATATCTTTGGCAAGGCAGCTAATAAGTGAAATGAGGGGCAATTGTTTCCTCCGCTACAGCGCATGTTGCGTATGACTTGAGAACTGTTCGGTAAAAGTCTTTTGGCTACTTCTTACTAATATCCTTTTCTAGATTCACAGCGAGCTGTTGCGTAAAACTGTAAGTGAGACGTGCTGTCATTTCTGAATGCCATAATTGATACCGCGCTTTTACTAAGCAGTTGTGATTCTTTGGTAAGCTCTAGAATGGAGTTACAAAGCAGTTTTAGTTTTGTTGGACACAACCACATATGGACAGTTCCCTCAAAAAACAAACACACACACATGGACCCATTCTTATTCTATACATGCATGGTATGGTATGGATATACTAGGTAGCCTTGGAATATTATTGAAAGCTTTTTCATACTAAACCACTTAAAAGTGGCAATGATTGTTTCATCAGAACATTTCAAATTCTTATGAAAACTTGCGTGTGTGTCTAATTGTCGATAGCAGAACTAGTTGTTATTCGGACCGACGACTAACAGTCATATACTCCTATATTATGTTGCTGTCAACCAAAAGGCAATGATTAGTGACTTTTGTTGACCATCTTCTTTTGGTGCACCATCCTTTTCTTTTCATATAACTATCAGGAACGACACGGAAGATTAGCTGCATTTCTCTTCATGTTCCACACACCCCTGATAAAACTCTCTACTTTCAGATGCTCTTCATATAAACAAGCGGTACTTAATTTTGTCTTCATGCAGAAAACAACAGCAGTGAATTATGTTCGTTAACTTTGATCCTGAATGTCTGTTTTGCATATGCATATATACCTTGTCACTGTCTATTCTGTTACTTTTGTTTTGGTTGTGGTGACATCTTTAGGTTGTTCTCCTTGAAATGAAAGTAATACTTTCACCGCACTGGAATTTATTGGCCAGAACAGGGACTTGGATTGGTCAGGTCCTAGTCGGCTAGTGCACATCTCCTACAAGGCTAAGCATCTTGCGTGAGGAAACTAGAGACCATTAGCATACGCAAGGCCTGTCCTTACTTTGCAATTTTGGAGCACCTCAGCACCCAAAAGGAGGTGACTAAAAGCGCTTTTACGATGGCGCCACTAGGTCCTTTAAGCTATTTGCACAATCATTTAATTATACAATGATATTGGAGGATAGGGATGTGATTTGTGGGCTACGTACCTTTGCCACCACAGTAGTTAGTGCCTTGAACTTTAGATGCACCTGTCTCTTTGCTACAATTGCAAATTAGTATATATGTAACTCGAATGTGCAGCATTTTGTATTGTTGTATACCACCATTACACCATACAATGGTTTTGATTTGTGGATTCTAGAAAAGGAACGGGATGCATTTATAATCGCTGATAGGATCGCGATGCTGAATCCTGTCATTGTCCTTATAATTAATTTAACTAAAGTATCACTTTATTAGTAAAAAAATGTTGGTGGGTGCTTGAAGGCAGTGAGCCTTGGATGTAGTCCCAAGCAGTATATTTTCCCACAAGCTTCTTATTTTCTGGTAGCCAGTAATGGCTCATGAGCCCCAAATAAAAGGATCAGTAGGTTGACTCCATTCTTTCTTTAAAAAAAATCTATGTGCATGTGAGAGAGGGACCCTTTATTCTTTAACTTAAAAAGAGAATTCTTTAATTGGGATCTGTGTCAACTCCACATGATGCTTAATTTGGATTCATACAATCTGTCAGAGGACAAATACGCTGCATGTGGTTGTTGCTGATCAACTTTGGATATCCAGGATAAAACCCATGAGTGACATTCAGTTCAGTGTGCAATAAGATGTTACACACATTTTCGTTTGCCTCCTAGATTAGTAACATTGTTTTTGATACGGTTCTTAGCGCCATGGCCCATGGGAGAAGTGCTAGACTGTTCACATCAGTCAAAGCATATTGTGTATCTTGATGCTCATCAGCGACTCAGCGTGTTGCTCCGTCTCAGTAGGTAGTGTTTTGCTGTCCATGGCCCTTATCTTCCTAGCTAGAGCCATAGAGGGTGCCTAGTTGTATAATCCTAGCTCCCTTCCACCGTTGTCGGAAAGATGACTGAATGATCCGTCCTTCTTTGCCCTTTATTTTGCTTAGAAAGAAGGCCAGGAGGACAGAGTATGCTCTTCCTTTCTATGCTTTCCTCTCCTGCCCCGGATGTTCATTCCAGCGTAAGGCAAGCATTGGTGGAGCAACCAAAGCAAAGGCATGATCTTTGCAGGTAGCCCAGCCTATCAGACCGCCCGGCGTCCTTTTCGACATCGGTCCTTCTCCATGAAAATACAATGAACCACTGATGTAAAGATGCAAAATGTCTACAAATTAATAACTCATCTAGCAAAAGCTTTGCTTAGGCTAAGGCTGATAATGTGTCTACTAAAGGAGGCGGTAGTTAAGAAAAGCTTTTGATTCTGCCCAAAAGCTGGTCAAGATGTACCGGTTGATTTGCCTGCTGGTCAAAATGTACCGGTTGATTTGCCTACTGCAGTGCTGCTGGATGTAGCATTGCTTTAGCCTAGACTATCACAGACAGTTTTGCACTTTTGATTGGAAGTTCCATCTTTCTTCCTACACGAATCCACATCCTTTCAGCTGAAAAAAGGTCTGGAGTTGCGTTGATCTCATATGTTGCTCTTCGGTATTAATATCATAGTACTAACATTTGCACAAGATTGGTCTATTTGAATCCTCAAACACTTGTGTATTACATCTAAATACAGCAGTGTGTGAGAAAAAATGACAATAAAGCTGTGATATAATTTCAGCTCATTGTTCATGTGACTACAAACTAAATAAAGTACAGAATACACAAGTAAATGACCGGCCTTCTTGATGACCTTATTCAACAAAGAAAGAATACTTTGACAGATAGCTAATCGAGACACTATGGGAATAAAAATTGTGATGCCAACTATTCACTATCCACCATATGAAGATTGCATCCGCTGCAAGGACCCCTGCTCATCTTCTTATTTGTCTGCCTTCGGAATAATCACAAGGTGCTGTTCTCTTGTTGCTGCCATGAATCAATCAGCTGAAGTTTAGCAGCAAAACTAGACCATATCATGGATGCAATGTCAAAACCTCTCACTGTCACCAAGAACAAAATGGACTCTGCAGAAAATTAGGTGGAAGTATCTGTCTTTGCTTCCATGTCAAAATTTGGATGCTGCCAGCAAGCATGCAGCTGCCTCAACTATAGTTTCTGTAAAGATAAGATATCAAATAACTGTTCATGTTTTGCCGTGATCATGATTTTGACTTGATTATTAGGGCTGCATGTGAATGTCTGATGTCTTCACAGTGTGTTTTTCAATCTAGAAAGGAGATTCAAGTGACTCATCCCAAACATCTCCACTTGCATTTGAAGCATCTTCACCATCTTCTTCCATCGCCAATCTTACATACTCTCTTCGTGCAAAACGATCCCAGTCTGTTAATGATGGCTCTTCACGCATCTGCACTCGGATTGGAGGAAAGCAGAGGTGTTACAAGTGACAAACAGTTCATGTGAGATTATCAATGGATATTATAACATGAAATAGGAACTCGACTTACTTGGCGGATAAGGAATGGATCCCTAGCTTCAAATGCCATAAATTTGTTCAGATTAAAGAGAATGTTGAAGAAATGCCCAGACAGTTTGCACCTTCGGAAGTCTTTCAATGTCAAATAGCTATCATTCTAGAACAAAATTAATGCAACTAATTCAGCATAAAATGTTTATTAGTTGGCAACGTGCAAATTAAAAGTAATAAAGGCAACCTCAGGTCCAATCATATCAATGAGCTGACACAAGATGTCCTCAAATAGAACAGGTTCCTGGGCCATGCACTCCATGCGATGAAGTTGCTCCTCAAAGAAGAACTGAAGTTCAATGTGTGTAAGTATGCCATTGCCATCCAAATCTATACATTTGAACCTGAAGAGATGATGTCACCAAGCAAAAATATGAGAACTTTTGGATGTTATAGGCCTGGTTGGAAGATAAGGAATTTTTAGGATTTAGTTGAAGCTTGTACTGAATCCTAGAACCACCTTTCCAAAATGGCAAGCAAATCAAATTCACATGACATGTTAGACTGATGTGTTTTAGGTTGAGCATCAAAGGCTACCCTAACAGATATAGATAAATCTTCTTTAGAATTGATCTCCTAGTCAGGAATGAATTTTCATACTTTAGAGGATCAAGTTGACTACGGCTCTACCAAAATTCGATGAATGTCTCCAAAACCACACATTCATTTCTTAATTCAATTTGTAGAAAAAGGAAACCTTTGCTTGAAGGACCTTTAATGAAGAATTCTACCTGGATGGGATGACAATGAGACCAACAGCCAGTATAGCTGTGAAATTTATTTTAATCGAATTTACTCTGTTCAAAGTAAGAGACTTTTCATGCCACTGCTATTTTTCTTTGTGTTGACTAGTTTGATGTCTTATAATGAGCTCATCACTTAACATTTTTCTTTCGCAAATACCCCTTGAACAAAGATAGATAGTTCTAATAAATAAAGCACCATCCACCCTATGTTTTTCTCTATCCCTTAGAAAGGATGTTTTAGAAATGTTATACAGAGATTGTTCCAATGGTTGCATGATACAAATATACATTGAAATCGTAACATTGTAAGTGATGCATAAGCGCTCATGATAGGAAGTACAATAAAGGGTAAACACTATAGTACACTGAAGATGGAGCATTGATCAATATTAAAAAAGCATTAAACCAAACATCAGCAACATACCAATATTCTTGGCTTGGCGCTGATGATTTGTCCTCTTCAGACAATATAAAATGGACGAAATCTTCATAGCCCATTTTCCCTTCAACCTTACTGGTAAATTTCCTAGGAACCTACCATATATCCATTAAAAACTATCAACATGCACTCAATAAAATGAACCTGAAGATAACTCGAAGAAAATGAAGTTGGTAGGACAAAAAGAAAAACTAACCTCTGAAAAAATTCTATCTACAATCCTATATGTCAGTGCATGGTTTCCGTACTTAATAAGATTTTCTTTGTCAATAAAGAAGTCGTGGTCTGTGTCCAGTTCCCAGAACTTGCAATATATCACATAGAAATGCTCATATGAGAAGTACCTACAGGGGAAAACAAACAAGAAGTTCAATGTCTTGCATAATGGAAGCTTAGGGTTCCCCTAAAGAAAAACTGCACTGGAGAAAAATCTGTAAATACAAAGGAGGAGAATTGTTAGAACTTGATTTGAAGGTGTCACCTTAAAACTTTATTGATATCCTCTTCATCATCAGCATGCCTGAGCGCACTGAGTAGATTTCCACGCTTCAGCTCTCTAAGTGTCAGATGTCCACTCCCAATTCGATTCAAGGAATAGAATATTCTATATACGACAGTCTCAGCTGACAAATAATGTTGTATATAAGCCAAAGAAGATAGAAGATGGGATTTGATAAAATCCACAAATATCGTAGCATGGCAAAGATAGTTTACCATATCTTTCTTGAAATTCAGGTGTACTCTTCAAGAACTCCAGACCAGGATGGTTGTCCAAAAGGTCTTTCAGAATTGGTTTAAAATCCTCCTAAATGAATCCAATCAATCATTATGAAGCATTGATTAGAGAAGAGCAACAGTCATCAACCACAAACATGCTTTGCTGAAATAATCCTTTGCTAGTCTTTCATTGTATGATGTTTAGGGAAACAAGAGATGGATACCTTTGTGAGGTAGTTGCGATTCTGCTGCTTCAGAATTGTGAACACTTGGGTTGCACTATCCATACTCATCAAATTGCTATTCACCCAGAAATCAATGAAGGCATCCCTGAAACAGTTGAAGTAATGCCATGTCTATCATACATTAATTTTGTCTAATGCGGACAATCAAATTTTGCCAACAACTACCTTGTCACGAATCCCGTGCTCTCCTTGTCTATCTTGTCGAAAAGAACAGTGGTAAAGAATGTCGGTAGTTTGCAGAGTTCCCTGGTAACCATCCGAAATTCTATTGTGCAACCAAAGGAGGCACGGAAAGAAAACTATTAGATGAATGCCTCACCACAAACTAGTGTGATCAAGACAATTGCCAGTTTCAATTGATTTGAGAGGGGATGCATGAAACTGTCTTATCATCAGCATCACCACTAGTCAACAGATGATTTCACGAATTAAACTGAACAAAAATACAGATCGAATTTGGCGCACCTGGAGCCCGAAGACCATTTGAGTGGCCGGCGAAGAGCTGATCAACTGTCGATATGCATTGCTTCTTCACCTCGTACGGCGGTGGCCGTCCATCTTGAAAATAAAACTGGCAAGCAAAACAAAAGAAATTCGATTGCTAACACACCCATGGCAATCATCAAAGACGATTTTCCATGCAGATTGGACAAAAATGAGAAGCAAAGTCTGATCCGATCGACGGACGACGTGGAGCAGTACCTGCGGAATGACCTCCTTGGCGGGGCGCGCGGCTGGCGGGCGGAGCGGCGACGCGGAGCGGTTGGGCGGGCCGGCGCCGAGGCTGCTGGGCCTCCGCGAGAGGCGCGGGGACCTCGGGGAGAGCGGCGGCACGGCGGCTCCCCCCTGCAGCATCATGGAGGGCAGCATCGCCGCCGCGGCGCCGCCGCTGGCCTTGGCCTTGTGCACGAGGCTGGCGAGCAGCGCGGCGGTATCCGGGAGCGACAGCCAGTGCGCGAAGAGGCGGTCGAGGACGCCGCGCAGCGCGGGCGCCCCCGGTGCGGGCACCTCCGGCGGCAGCTGCAGGAGATCCACCTGCAGCGGCAGCGCGCTCACCTGCGCCGCCGCGCTCAGATCCGCCGGCGCCGGCGCCTCCACCATCCCGTACCGTACGTCCTCGGACTCGGAGCGCTCTACCTTCTCCTGCGCCGCCGATCCGGCTCCGGCGAGCGATCCCGTGCGGAGGCGCGGGGAGAGCTGCTGGCGTCGCCTGGTTGAAACGGAAGGCGAGGCCGAGCGCGTGGGCGTGGCGCGACGCGGTGGTGGGGGTGGCTGGCTAGTTACCCGCTGGCTCCACGGATCTCGACGCTGTCTGCGCCGTCCGATCCATCGTCATCGCCTGCGTGGCAAGCAGGACGTGTTGCCCGGGTCAACGGCGTAGCGCAAGCGCAGTGGATGCAGACTTCGACAACCCACACAAGATCGCATGATGCCATGCATTACGTTGTTGTTTTATAAACTTGTTAGATCTGCCACCTTTGAATATTCTACCAAAATTCTACATTTGTATTCACTCCGAAAAAATATGGATGTATGATTTTGTATATAAAATGTTGCTAAGTAGCCTGATATTGTAAATGGGCGCAGTGGAAAAATGAGTTTTTAATGTGTTTTATTTAGTTAGCGTTGTAGCAAGTGGAATAGTCATAATCCATTGTGTGTTTTCATGAACCAAGATCATGATACATTCAAAAATGAAAAGGAAAAAAGAGAGAGAGGACATTGCATGTAAGATTTGATCTTAAGTGCAAAAGTTTAATGAAATGATAAGATAGGATACATACCATAATATGAAAATCGGGATGAACTAGATGTAGGAAGAAGGCAATTGAGGAAAGAACCTTGAAGGATCACTTAGTGTCAAAAAATAAGGGGCAAAGAAAGAAGTAGCAACGGAGGCGAAAACCGACCATAAATAGAGTGAGTGTGTTTGGGTTGAGAAACAGAATAGGTGGATGTCAAGGAAAGGAGGAGAGAGGAAGTAGGGCTCGAGGAGCACTGGGAAGCTCGGACCACAGGTCCCCCTCGCCCCAATCCATCAATGTAAAAACGAACTACACATTCTTCGCTTGAACTTTTGTAGGGCAAATTACTAGATTACTACCCTCCGTTTATAAATACTTTGACACTATTTCTTTTTGTTTGGTAAAACTTGTCACCAAACGTGTTTTTGGTTTTGCCCTTTTGTGTAGCCCATGTGGAAATCAAACTTGTACCTATTCATCAGAAATTTCTAGAGCTTCCACTTTCGCTCTCTATATGTGCATTTAGAATGTGCTTATGTGTACCAACAATAGAACAAAAATGTATTATGATAATTGTGAATAAGACAAATTCATCCATTGGTTTATGTGTTCAGGTCATGGGGAATTTGTGTGACTAGGTTCACCTCACATTCACCTATGTTCCTGTTTATTTTCCGTAGAAGATAAGAATTTGATTAACGTGAATATTGTACTAATCTATTTAAGTATGCATTTCTTCTTTTTGTTTTGAACAGACTAAGGGGTGTTTGGATTCAAACTGGATTAATAGTAATCGGATAAAATATTCTAAAGGTAATCCAAACACCCTATCTTATGGGTTGGAACCACCTGATTATAATAATCGTATAATGGTCTTGTTTGGATCGAATCGCTTGTCTGATAATCAATTTTAGTCTTATCAACATTTTTTTGGTAAGAACAGTATGAAGAACCTATAGTGTAGAGAGTCAGAGTGTGTACTGTGTTGGCAATCCTGATTATTACCCACAAATTCTCTATCTTGATTGCAAAATGACCTATATGCCATGTGTCTTTGGATGGTTCATTTGTTGACTCTATGAGCTGAAAACAATTACGGTAATATTGTTATTTTTTTAGTTTGTTTACTAGAAAGTTTGTTACAACAGTAAAAATGCGTAGAGAATTCTGGAATGAACAAAAAGATATATCATTTTTTTGCTCTGTAAAGTCAAAAAAAAAAGAGATGGATACAACAATTAATCACCCAATCATAACTACGGCTATAGCGTCGCGCAAAAGCACCCATATATATCCATGCCATCCCCTAAAGCACTCCCTTCAGTCCTTCACCCATGATGCATGATGAACCTGGTAAAATATATGTATGGTTATCTTCCTTACGAGAGGTTTGCTGCAATATTGGTATGGCAATAATAATACTTTGTCCGGTCAAAAGCACTTGTCTTAGGGCCGTCCGGTCAAAAGGACCTCTTTCTCGCTCGCTCTACTTGGGCTGTGGAACTTTGTGGGTGATGTCTGCTCGTCGTTGAGTTGGCCCAGTGCTGCTCTTGTGGTGGCCACTGGCCCGGCCCCAAATAGTCCTAAGCTATAGGCAGCAGGCTATATAAGGGATGGCCGGATGGGCTTTGTGGAACGTTGCGGCTGGTCAAGACCCGACGGCGCGCGCGCGTGCGCTCGTGGCCCGCTGGCCGTGGTCGTCGCCGCCACGTATAGCTCGGTACGCGGCGGCGGCGCGGACAACCGATTAACCGAAGCCGCACGCACCCGCCGCCCGCACGGCGCACGTACAGGGGTGAGGGGGTCTCTGGATTTGACGTCTGCCCATGCACAGCTTGCTTGTCGTCAGCGGTCCGCGGCACACAGCGTACACCGGCGCCGTCGTCCCAACGGCGACCTCGATCTACTCCCATGTTTTGCTGACGCCTTCGGCCGGCCTCCGCATGCCGCGTCCCTCGATCGATCAAGGCTCTGCTGCCGTGCAGTGCAGTGCAGTGCTGCGTCAATCAAATGCACACCTACCCTACACATTTAAGTTTTTGTTTTAAGCTACTACAGGCCAGCGAGCCTTGTTTCTGGATTTCTTTACTATATTCGGCCTGTTCGCTTGTTAGTTTCAGCCAGCCCAAACCAGCCAGCCAACAGTGTTTTTCTCTCACAATAAACCAGCACCAGCCAGCACAAACCAGTTCAGAAACCAACCAGCGAACATGCCGATTATTATTCTCGCTATATATACGATTCCGTTTGCGACTGGTGCGTGGCCACATATATCTTGGAGTAGAGTGTAGTGGCCTCTGACTTCAGCAGCACCAATATAATCAAACTGATCATTCACCTTGCTCAAACCCCGTTCAGCTATACTATTTCCAGCTTGTTTCAGCTTGTTTTAGCTTATTCTCTCTCACAGAATACTATTCAATCCTCCAAAAGAATCCAAAATCTACTATTCTGCCTACCAGCCGAACGAGCTGAGACCCATGCAAGATTTCAGTAGCCTTTGGGGTGCCACGTACTTCAAATGGAGGCATTACTTCAAATTGACCAATTTGACCCCGATCAACAACAATTCTTATTAGGTCTCCTTTGGCAGGGATTCAGTTTCTCGAAGAAATGGTCTTTGGTGTATATGGCTATGCGAAACCGAGAATCTTGTTTTTCTGGTTCCCGGTCTCAAGTAAAAAACTGAGGGCGTGTTCGGCTGGCTTGTTCCGCCACTCACGAAATCACTGTTCACGTCATGCCAGAACAGTATTTTTATCTCACAACAATCAGTCGGAACAGTATTTTTCAGTCCTGCCGAACAGGCCCTGAAGAAAGGCTTGTAGCTAGCTCTGGTCTTTCGATCGAGATACACCTTCCATTGGAAAGGGTTCTTTGTTTCTCTGCAGAGATCGTGACCTTTTGGTAGGGTCCGTTCCCTGACACTACGCACTACTACATCGTAGGCAACTAGGCATATATAGCCAATTGATCGACAACAAAAAAGTGTGGGAAAAAAACGGAAATACGTGTATTTCTATGCTCGATCGTATTATGAGGCAAACAAAACATAGTGCGCTTAGCTAAGCAAGCCTCTGGCAGCAGTTTCAATTCATCACTAGTCAGTCAGTGTATAGCTGCTGCCTAGCTAGCTAGTGCATGATGATGGCCATCATCATCATCACGTCTGGGTTTGTTTTCTCTTTTCGGATTCGGAGTTCCGGATAAGGACGGATGCTGCCCCGTAGTGCTCCCTGACTCGGTACTCGTTAGGCAGAGGCAGATAGATGCAGAGAAGCTAATTTTACCTTTATTTCCTTCCTGCTTCTCTTCTTTATTTGATTTGAAAAGCAAAGGCCCCGGATTAAAGCTGAAAGTGACTGGTATATATGGTGTGATCTACTTATTTGTTACCATACTACTGAATTATTGATTGTCACTTAATTATCTGATCGATGAAGACGATAATCCACACTCGATTACAAGAAGAACTGTTAAGATATTATATGTAGAATATATAGTAGAGGGAATCAACGTTCTTTTCTCTTTCATAATATTCCAAGGTTCATGTTTAAGTAAAAATTGTAAGGTTTTTGGATAAAACCCGGCCAAGGCCACTTATCCAAACAGACCAGTGACATCATATATTCGTGCCGTTTCGCAACCTCGAAAAAACCTCCTTTTTTATATATGATGATGAGATCAAAAACAGGAAATGATGCAACCACCATCAGGTGATTAATTAGGTTGCAAGTTTTCTGGCCTCAAGCTCTGCACAACACATCTTCTCATTTTACGTGCAGAAGCGATGCATGGACAGCGTTGCACGTCACAGAAACAGAACTACACTAATACGAAAGAAAAAAAGAAGCCAGAACAAAATCGCTTCTTCTCCGATGATCATCCAGCTTAGTCTTTTTGCGCGGGCGCGCTCGTTCGATCGATCAAACGGCCGGTCGATCGGTGGGCGCCGAGCGGCAGGGAAGCCTACACGGCGGCGGTGGCCGCGTCTTGCCGTCCTTGCCGCCGCAGCTTCCGTGCTGCGGCGGCTTGGCCACCCCGTCGGCGGCGTCAGTAGTGAAGCTGGTGGCAAACGGGGCGGCGCTGGCGAGGAACGACGGCGCGCTGTGGCCGGCCATGACGACGAGCACCTTGGGCATGGCGTCCTCCCTGTCCAGCGGCGCCAGCACGCGCACGACAGACATGACGCCAGGCTCCGCGCCGCGGCGGCCTTCCTCTTCCTCCTTGCGGCGGGAGCAGAGGAGCACGGCCAGCGCCACGGCGATGAGCGCCATCACCACCGCGAAGCCGATGAAGAGGTACGGCGTCGGCGTGGACCAGAACGGCGGCGGCTCCACGCGCCCGTACGCCATGGCGGCCGCTGCCGCCGGCTGCACCGACGACGACGACGCGCCGCCACAGTCCTCGCACATGGCCATCGCGATTCTTGCGAGCCTCATGTCCTCTCGATCGCGTCTGTGTGCTGTGTGCTTGCTTTTCTACTGATTGATGATGAAACTACAGAGGTTGGTATGGTATGTTATGGTATGCTATCTGTGTGTGGGTGTGTGGGGGGTTGGGGGTGGGGGAGATGAAGATGCGGTGCAAGGAGGTGGGCTTTTATAGGCGGGAGATTGGAAATGCATGGAGGTGGGGCCCGCGCGCTGCTGCCAAACTGTGTGCCCCCAGGGTTCCAGTGGTTAACCTGACCCTGATGGCGGGATCAACTGGGCTCGTGGGTTCGGTATGGTATTTTGGTAGGGCTGGATTATGCTTGGTGCTTCTCCTTTGTCATTTCAAGGAATGGGGATCTAATTTGTTTATTTCATATTCATAATATTCGCAGGTAAAGCCTAGTAGGCTAGTAGCTAGAGTTGGTGGTTTGGTGCGCGATCCTTTGTAAGGTATTCCAGCACTTGTGTGAAGTTGCATTATTTCTCAGCTTATTAACATAGAGTCCGATTCTCTCTTGTTCGCAATAAACGCGTAAATGATAAAAGGATATTTTTTCTGACTGACCGCCTAACTGAAAGACTTAACTATCCATACATTCTTCAGTATCGCATCCGAATCTGGAGATTTAGTATCCATATTGTATACATCTGGATACTTACGTTTAGTAGTCGACATCGATTCATATCTTATCTGGCATAGCTTTGACATTATATCTAAGGAATACTGTAGCTAGCTATCTATATTTATATATGTAGATAACTGTTTGTATCTGAACCCTTGTTCGCACCCAAATTAGACTAATTCGATCAGGCCGTTGGTCATATAAAATTGGCTTGGCAAATGTCACTTGGCTTGCTAACCAAGTTCATATTTTTACTTAGCTTGATCGATCGATATATATAGAGTTTAAATTCACTTAGCTAGATTGGCTGGCCTCATAGATGTGCACTCGGTTTGCTGAGTGCATAATTTTACTGAGCTTAATTAGTTGGCCAAGTGCATGAGTTCGATCATTCGGCTTAGATGGCCGGGTGGTGCATATGTGCTAATGGCAAGGGTGTCAACCTATAAACATAAAGGGTCATATCGCCGAGGGAGTTAAATCGCACAAAAAAAGATTAATCTACTATCCTTTTACCCTCATTCTCTTATATTTTCCAAACCCAGGTTGCGCTATCCATCCTTCGCAAGCGCGATAGGAATCCTTTGATTTGCTGGTTTATTTGCTCGTAAACCTAGACATCCCTCGCCCGAAGTGTGGCAGGCTTCCTTATCGTGGTGTATTTAACAATTATTAAGTAAGTAGAATCTGACAACCAGCCAGACCAATTTTCACAGTAAGTGTGGCGAGAAGCGCCACTACGGGTTGCATGTGGCGTGCTCAGGTGTTTGGCGCCTTTCAACCACAGCGGCGGATCGAGATTCGGAAGAGCAGGCCCTGCTTCTGGATGATGGAACTACATACAAAAATGTTGGGCGTGAATAGACTGAAGATGTATAGGCTTTCATAGATGCCCAAAGTAGTGGAATACTGGAATTAATATATATATATATATATATATATATATATATATATATATATATATATATATATATATCCTCTTCCTCATCAGCCCACAAATGAGAGGGTGTAACGTACGCATCTTGTAGTACGACGTCTATAGCACGTAACGGATTCTCCGAAAAATTAAGCTAGATTGCAGCCAATGCAGTTCACATCTATCTCCATCGATGGCGAGATGCACAACGCCAAGTGCTGCAATATTTTTAACGCAAGTCAAGTCGCTGGAAACAATTATTTCCACACGTAAGCCTCAAGACTCAAGACTAACTAGAAGCAAGCACTGTGCAATGGCCTCCGCGTCAGCCCCCAACAGGCCAACACACGTCAATGCCATACATGAAGGCACGCACTAGCTATAAATAATCTGTGTTGGCGGTGCCATGAGGCTGGCCAACAAGCCCCAAAAAGAGTACTGTGACGAAACGGGTCGGATAAGAACGCATGGTTAATAAAGCAAGGATTAACATGATGCATGCGATTCTTGACCAGTAGCGACGATCGTCAAGGAATATTAGGCCTAAGCAACGCTAAAAAACTATAGCTTAGTGCCTTCCTTTCGGCTCTTCAGAACTAGCTTTTGCCTCGGTAGTCTTATAGAAGCAACAATATGTGCTCTCAAGACCACCAGTCCTTAGTTCTGGACACACCATGGCTATGTCATGTCTGTGGGCTATCCACGGAACTATGAATCTGTTTGGTACAACTTATAAGCCGGCTGTGACCAAAAAATAAGGTCTTTTCTGGTCACGCTTCTCCCCACAACACAATCATTTGCTACCACAAAACAGAATATCCTCGAGCGCCGAAAACCCTCAAAGAAAGCACCAAAACCACCAAGGAGATTATTCTTGAGTACCAACCCTCAAGGAGCAAGAGAAATTCAAATTACCTTGAGGGCTGACTGCCACGTCAGATTTTGAACAGAGTCAAGGAAATGTAACAATCCTCAAGGATGTATGTTTTCTCGAGTGCAAAGAAAGCACCAAAACCACAGAAATTTATTCTTGAGTATCAACACTCAAGGATGGCCGCCAAAGAGTACAGAGCAAGGAAAATTCAAACTACTTTGAGGGCTGATTCTTGAGTACCAACCCTCAAGGATGGCCTCCAAGAGTATAGAGAAAGGGAAATTCAAATTACCTTGAGAGCTGATCGCCATGTCAGATTTTGAACAGCATCAAGAAATTGTAACACCCCTCAAGGATAAGGAGGGCTGATGATGACACCCAAGGAAATGTAATGCCCCTAAGGATGTATGTTTTCTTGAGTGCCAATGACACCCAAGGTATATATATACCTTGAGGGCCGATAACCCTCAAAGATATGTATAGGAAACAGAGAAATAATCACACATTTGTTGTAGCTGGAAATCGAACTCGTGACCTAAGATTTTGCATGAAACTCACTTCCCACTACACCACGGAGTCTTTTGTGACTAAGTGAATTTTTCTTTCTTTTTGTATTCACTTTAGTGGATCTTGTAATGAAGATTAAAGACTCTAAACAATTTCAAATGAAAAAACTTTAAACTAAATTTTTTTATATCTCATCGAGTACTACAACTTCGGTTTAGGTTGTATCTCCATCTGAGGTCATTTGAAAGATTCAAAAAATTTGAAGTTCAAAACTCTTATAACTTAAAACATAGTTTGTAGACTTTAAATAATTTCAATGAAAAAGTCATCGAGTACTAGATTGTATATCTTTTCAGGCTCTGCAACTTTGATATAAACTTTGCCTCCATACGATATTAGTATGCATGCTAGCGTTTAAACTAATTAGGCATCTCAAGCTAAGTGCCCGTATGCATTCTCCAATGCATAACAACACAAAATTGTACCTTTTGTTGGATTAATGTACCAAAAAAAATATATTTCATTTCACAAACATGTCAATAGAGCAGTTGTGTCTATAAAATGCAATGTCTAACTAACAAGCAGGGGCGAATCTAGGATAAATCGTCGCTGGGATCGGACTATACTTAGAGCAATAATCTAACACCATACATAAAAAGAATAATATACTGTAAATAGTATGCATTCATACAGGGATAATGTGACAATAATATAATCCGACAAAAAAACTATTTACAAAAGTGGTTACCTCTTATAGTTTCACCCCTCATCCATATTCTGAAAACGAACTATGATATCATCATTTGGAATTGCATCAAGAAATTCTTGCTCAACGAAGCAAATGACACAATCATTCATAAATCCATCGCCGATTCGGTTTCGCAGGTCCATCTTCACAATTTTCACTACTGAGAAACACCTTTCCACCGACATCGTCACAATAAGAAGAACTAACACAAGTTTGAGGAGCCGATATACCAAAGGAAAAGAAAGATTTTTGTTTGTATCCACCAACAGTTTACCAAGCTAAGAAATAGTGGCCACTTGGGCGATCAGCACGCACATTGTCGATGTAAATATTAAGCTCAATAATAAGATCATCTAGGTCCCTTGGATCAAAATCATTAGGATATGCCTTAGCCAATTCCATCAAACTCTCAATTTTGAATGCATCAAAAGAATTCTTTGGACTAAAAGTAGCAATGGCCCCGTTCGTTTGGCTGAATTTGGTTGAAAAACATTGTTCTGGCTGAATTATTGTGAGAGAAAAACACTGTTCCGACTGAAAAAAGAAGCCGAACAAGCCAAAACTTAAGGTCAGACGAACGGGGCCAATGTTGGTAAGCAATTCAGAATTTACCTCGTTGAAACGGTCATTAAATTCTGCAAGCTATAAATCAATAACTGGGTTCAAGCAATCATATTTGTAGTGTTGATAGTTGGTGCGGTTGGTCTTCTTCCTTGGTTTGTGCCTACCAATGTACTCTTGTTCCATGTCTAACTTTGGGATGCCATGTTCTTCACAAAAAGATAGCACAAAACTTAGTATGGAATCCCAACCATCATCTCTAATTTTCTGAAATTTCTGTTTTGTTAACTGTAGCTCTGACATAGCCTCTAAGATGTCTTTATCCTTCCTTTGTAAGGACAGTGATAAACAATTTGCATGTCCCAATATAAGCAACATTAACTGCAAGTGGAACACAAAGTCAAAATCCTTGAGATAGTCCATGAGACCACGGGCTTGATGTCTCTTGGCATCAGTGGGACCTTCTTTTTCAACATATTGGAGCACTTCAATAACATCATGGAACAAACTGTTTATCCTTTGAAGAGTTTTATAATGAGAGGACCAACGAGTGTCACCGGCTCTTTGAAGTGATTGTTCTTGATTTAATCCCATTCCAGTACTAAGTTGTCCACTGCCTATTGCTTTAGCAACTCTCTCTTGTTGACTTTCTCGAATCATATCCTTCCTTTTGCAAGAGGCTACAGCAACATTAATTAATAGAGATACCATGTCGAAGACATCACTAATATCATCATTCTTTTTAGCCACTGCAAC